AAGGCGTGTCGAGCACCAGATCAATTGATTTATTGTTCTGAGCTTTCGAACATTTGCAGGTGTCCACCTTCAGAGATTCTGGAGATGGACTCCTGTAAGTGTTCGAAAGCTCAGAACAATAAATCAATTGATCTGGTGCTCGACACGCCTTCTTCCTCATCCAGGCAAATATGATTATAGTTGAAACCACGACGGGAGAGGAATGCAAACACAGTTCACAGAGTAGATATGCGCCAAATTCATTGCATAGAGTATGGCTAGTGCTGGATGCAAAGGTGATGAGGAAATTTAACTCGGTAGTTTAGCATATATTTGGTCACGTTATTTCGCTCCTCTTAGTAGATTTAATCCTGCGAAAGTCTTTTATTCAGGAAAACCGCCCTTTTAGTTAAGCTTAGTAAGGGCAATGGGCATTAATTTTGGCGAAACTGGGAGTACTTTCACATCGAAGGAATGTTCTATGCTAATCAGTAAGACAGAACCAAACTTTTGATGAATATGCATTGTGCCATGGAAGAACTCCAAAATAAGTTTAAAAAGTGTAAAAAATATCCTTTCCAGAACCGGAAAACTTTGTGCGAATTTTTCGGATGCAAGTGTAGCCAAGCTTAAGGAATCGCACTTATTTTCAGAACCAAGGAACAATTTAAGTTTTAAAATATATGTTTAGCTAATCTGTTAAGTTTTTCCTGAAAATGGGATGAAAAGTTTTGTTCACATTTTGTTTTACTGCATCGCCTAGATGGTACGTAAGCAAAGGTGTCCACCGTGAAGTTATGGAAAAGAGGCCTTAAGTCCTGTAGAAATATACTTTTTGTACACTTTACTTTCCGCTTATGCGTTATTTAGAAATGCAACAGACAGAATAATAATAATTTAAATATCTTCTTCTATATAAGGCCACACTTTTTTGCATTCGCAAGCTTAGAAAAGAGCCTGAAAGTAATCTATTATGGCGAAAAATAATCCAATATAAGGAGAAACTGTATAATTAACCTTCAGATAAATTTAAAAAAAACTTGTCAAAAATCCCTATTTTCCCTTTGAAATTACATTGGACGAAGTTAATATACACAGAAGTTCGTCAGTTGAATATCTAATTAATGCGTTTTTTAAATAGGTAACCTATTATAGAAAGCCTTTTTATTAACCTCAGGAATAACAATATCAGACTCCTGTTGCGGACAGTGTGGTTTTCCCTTTGGAGGAATTTCTAACTATGGTTCACTTAGCCACCCTCATACGAAATTATGTCGAAAAACTCCTTTTTTTCGGCAAATGCTTTTGATATGTATATCTTATTTTAGAGGTATTGATGCAAACGTCGAACGGAACCTGCATTGATGGACGAACAGATGAAGACACTGAAAACGCTCGAAAATATGCCGAAATTTAAAGGTCGATATTAAATAAATAGTTATCCCTTAACGGCAATATATACAGTATGACGAGTGCTGCATGAAACATTCCGCATTTTGAAAAAGACCGGTAATCACTGGTAAAGCAACATTGAGTAGTGTTGCAATACTGTTTATCAAGCAGTCCAATTTAAATTATTTTCAGTCACGCTAGGATGCCGAATCTGTGAGGAGCTTCTTACTGACCGCTCCGAAAAAGCTGATTCTGTAAAAACAGGCAACTTAAATAGTATGCATTTTTATCATTGATTTTGACTGCCTTCATCAAATTCAAATGTATTTCATGGAAAGCATGCACGAAGAGATCCTCTCTTGTACTTATTTGATGGAAAATTACGCTTTCTTTAAATTTTATTCTTAAACGAAGGGATTCCTTCGGTTTAAAAAAGTTTGTAAATCGCCGAATGATTTTGAAAGCTACCGACTGCTAGAACTGAATTCAAGATTTACAAACGGAATGCTGTGTTCATCCTGTTTAAGGAAAAGTACGTACTTGCCTAAGGTTTGAGGAAAAGGTTGTATTGT